CATCTTTATTTGGTTTATCTTTACTGTTTCTGTTGATTGAATAAGTATTTACTGTTCCTAAACTTTAGGAGAAAGCATTTCAGTTTTATCTTAGTCAGTTTTTTTGTTACTGCAAGTATTATAAATGTATTGCAATTGGCAGTCGAATAATACAGATTTCCTACGATCTTATTTTTTCATTCCAACTTATATACTCTTCCTCCTTCAATATTTTATTATCTCTGTTTTTTGCTGCTGACTTCGTTCCTTAAAAACAACAATTGGTATCAGAGCCCTTTTCTTACGGACCTGTGAAAATGGATGCCGAATCAAATTTCTCACAAGTTGCACCTCCAGTCTTTGATGGAGACAACTACGATCGCTGGGCTGTCAAAATGGAGGCTTACCTGGAGGCTCTAGATCTTTGGGAAGCTGTAGAAGCAGAGTATGAAGTTCTTCTGCTGCTGAATAATCCTACCGTGGCCCAGATCAAAATGCACAAGGAGAGAAAAACTAGAAAAGCAAAGGCAAAAACATGTCTATTTGCTGGTGTTTCTCAAACCATCTTCACAAGAATTATGACTCTTAAATCAGCAAAAGAAATTTGGGACTATCTAAAGAAGAGTATGCTGGAGATGAAAGAATAAGAAGCATGAAAGTGCTTAATTTAATGAGGGAATTTGAGTTGCAAAGGATGAAAGAGTCTGAGAAAATCAAAGAATACTCAGACAAATTGTTGGGTATTGCCAACAAGATAAGGTTGTTGGGCAGCAATTTTCCTGATTCCAGAATTGTTGAGAAAATTCTGGTAACAGTGCCAGAAAAGTATGAAGCATCTATTGCTTCGTTGGAGAACACAAGGGACTTGTCTAAAATCACATTTGCAGAAGTGCTACATGCCTTCCAAGCCCAAGAGCAACGAAGTTTAATGAGGGAAGATCATGCTGTTGAAGGTGCTCTTCTAGTCAAAAGCCAACAAGCCAAAAACTACAAGAAGAATTATCCAGCCAGCAGTTACGATAAAGGAAAAGGTGGAAAGAAAAGTTACCCACCTTGTCAGCATTGTGGCAAAATGGGTCACGCTCCATTCAAATGCTGGCAAAGACCTGATGCTAAATGCAACAAGTGCAATCAAATGGGACATGAAGCAATCATATGCAAGAGCAAAAATCAGCAGCAAGAGGAAGAAGCTAAGCCTGCTGATCAGGAGGAGGAAGACCAACTATTTGTAGCTACTTGTTTCTTGAGCAGTGAATCGAGTGAAAGCTGGCTGATAGATAGCGGTTGTACCAACCACATGACCTTTAACAAGGCTCTTTTCAGAGATTTGAGGCCAACTAATGTCACTAAAGTCAGAATAGGTAATGGTGATCATATCTCAGTCAAAGGAAAGGGGACAATTGCAATCACAAGTTGTACAGGCACAAAGTTCATTCATGATGTTTTTCTCGTTCCTGAAATTGACCAGAACTTATTAAGTGTTGGTCAACTGATTGAAAAAGGATTTAAAGTTGTTTTTGAAGATAAATATTGCTTGATTAAAGATGCAGCTGGTCAAGATATGTTTAAGGTAAAAATGAAAGGAAAAAGCTTTGCTCTAAATCCATTGGAGGAGGAGCAGGTTGTTTTTTCTTTGAAGGAGAATGTCACAGAAATCTGGCACAAGAGACTCGGGCACTATCATCATCAAGGACTACTGCAAATGAGTGAAAAAGGGCTAGCACTTGATATTCCGGTGCTTGAGGATCAAACTTCAAACTGCAAAGCTTGTCAATTTGGCAAGCAAAACAGAAAAACTTTTTCAAAAACAGCATGGAGAGCATCAAGGAAGCTGCAATTAATTCACACAGATGTTGCAGGGCCTCAAAGAACACCTTCATTGAAAGGTAATCTTTATTATGTTCTCTTCATTGATGACTTTACTAGAATATGTTGGATTTTTTTCTTCAAGAACAAATCAGAGGTGGCTGGAATCTTTTGGAAGTTCAAAGCCAAGGTTGAGAACGAAATTGGTTTCAAAATTCAGATTTTGAGGTCAGACAATGGCACTGAGTACACATCTAAAAAATTCAATCAATTTTGTGAGGATTCCGGCATCGAACATCAACTAACCGCTCCCTATACCCCACAACAAAATGGGGTTAGTGAGAGGAGAAACCGATACATCTTGGAGATGACGAGATGCATGCTATATGAGAAGAATTTACCAAAAGAATTTTGGGCAGAGGCAGCAAGTACAAATACTTCTCTTCAGAATAGACTTCCCACCAAAGCATTGAACGATCAAACACCATTTGAGGTTTGGCATGGTTACAAACCATCTATGAAATTTCTTAAAATATTTGGTTGTTTGTGCTTTACTCATGTTCCACAGAGCAAGCGAGATAAGCTGGATAAAAGAGCATCACAGGGTATCTTTATAGGCTACAGTACAGTCAGCAAAGCCTATAAAATCTTTTAGTCGCAAACCGGGAAAATAATTATTAGCAGGGATGGTCACTTTTTGGGA